CTCACCGGTGATGCTCACCACAATACTGGCTACACGCCAAGTCTGCTGCTCCCAGGAGCTCTATTTTCTTGAATGTCTGGGCACACTCTCTCTGCTTGCCATTCTCTCAGCCCCTAAGGTTGTGGAGCATGGGGCTGTGAACCTCCGGTAGCCATGCCCCCGTTGCTGGTGCAAGATACCTCAGCACTGGTGGGAGCGGTAGCCAGGGAATCCCATGCCTCTCCTGGTTACCGCAGTCTGACTATCTTACTCACGGAAGAGCCGGGAGGGGCCCTTGAGATTTCCCCGCTGTGTGGAGAGGGAGGACTAGGGGGTTACATACCTGCCGCTGTCGGTTTCAATGAAGTTATCTCCTCCGTCGCATTCTGGTGACATCAGTTCTCTGCCATGGTGATATCCCATGTGAATGGTGACAGTTTGTTCCCTTTGCTGGGTGTCCGATGCAACTGGTGGGTCCTGACTGGCTCTCCCAAGCCCCATCTCAATCTTGAGGCCACTGCCTATGAAGGCTTGGTTGGTATTAACCTCCGCAGATTCAAGAGGAGCCGACAAGTTGGTTCAGCGGGAGCATTTATCGCTGAGTCACAGCGGTTTGTCTGGGAGATGCAGGCGAATGGGAGCCTGAATTCAGCTGCTCCAGGCTGAGTGTGTGTTCTGAGAGGCGCAGACTGTTCGCCCCAGATCCACATCAGCTCAGTATTGCCTAGTGATCCTGAGCAAACAGCATTTAGATGGTTTTAGACTCCGTATGCCCGCGCAGCTGAAGAGGTCAGAGACTTGATCTCTCCACGCCCGCCGCCATGTTGGATCCCTGAGAGGATCCTTTTGTTCCAGAACTATAGAGATGTCTTGTGGGTGTACCCCTTCCCCCTCAGGGGTTCCTAACAGTTCATGATTTCAATGGTGACTCCAACCAATTTCTAGCTAGAATTCCAGTTATATGATTCCCTAAGTACATTTACACATAAAAATATAGCCACAAATTTCTTGTGAATTTGTGAATGGACTTCAGCTTATTTTCCAGAAGACGAGAAACAGTAACTACTTCTACCTCGTTTGCCTAAACTTAAAGACATCCAAAACTTGTTCCCTTCCTTACACTTTTCAGAGATAATGGACAGGTTTTTTTTTCCCTTCATTCTTAGAAGTCAGCCTGAGTGATGAACTAAGGCAAGAAGGGCCAAGGATATCTTAGGATCTGGAAGAGCAGAGAGGAAGACTTGGTGGGAGGATCAGAGTGAAGAGGATCCCACTAATACTAAAAGAACACAGAGTGAACAGGGTGTGAGCAGAGAGGGGTGGAGAGATGGGATCAGGTGATGCTGCAGGGAAAGGGATCAAGGGAGGAATCTGGACTCAGTCTGAACACAGAGACACATCAAGGGAATCTTCTGTAGGTTCTCCATGAGCTCAATCATGCTATCAAATGATTTATAGTTGTAATATGGAGAATGGACTACAGGGTATAAAAGTGAAAAATGTGTTGTGACAACTTGCAAGTTTCTGACATGCCAGACCAGAAACTAAAAGTCATTTTTGATTAAATAAACAAAAAATTTTCTGTTTTCTCTCTGTGTTATATGATGGGATAGTTTTTCTTGCTCTGACTTGGAGATCACTACTCTTTTCATTCTCCAGAGATAATCTTCTCTTAATTCCTTTTAACATACCTCTCATCTGTGGTACTGCCACTTCTTGGTTGCTTTATCTTCTGTTTCCTTAATGTAACTTTGTCTCTCTACACTTATTTACAGATACTTTGACATTATTTCTACTATCAATTTTAAAGATTGGTGTAAAATCTTTGCAATATAGTCTTTATTATAATATTGGCTGTCAACAGAATATCTATCTGTTCATTGTCCTAATGTCAGTTGAGACTTTCTGGTTCTTTACATGCCTAGTGGTCTTATATTTTATACAGTATATTACATTTAATTATATATTGTGATATGATGCATCTTATTTAAAAATCCTATGTTTATATTTTTGTTTCAGTAGACTATATATCCATTTAGACTAAACCAACTTTGTGTGGATTGTGATTTTGATATTATATCAATTTAGAAACCCTTAGCCATGATATTTGGGTCTTTCTTTATTGTGAGATTTGCAGGGGTCAGCTGAGTTTCAGTTAACAGTCTACATATCAATTCTAGTCCATATTCTTTTGTATCCCCGCTGAAATCAGAACAATGCAAAGGTAGCTCAGAATAGAGCTTGATTTGCAGGATGATTTTTCCAAGCGCATTTCCACGACTTTCCCACTATGTGTATGGCCTCGGGCCTTCCCTTCCAGTCTTCTGCCCATTTCCTATGACAGAGGCCAGGATCCCACAAATACTAAGAGGACACTGAGTAATGAAGTAGCGGAATTAAGCGACACTCTCTTGGGAAATCAGCTCCTCAAATGAGAAAGGAAAGCCCCCACAGTCTCTGCTGCCACCACTGTGAACACAGACAATTTCCCAAGTCAAGATCAAGTAGAATGGAGAAAAGAAAAACCCTAAGAAAAAGAAAGTGTGGACACTCCAAGTTTCTCAGAGCATGAAGAATTTCTTTTCTTCTCTAGGAGACACAAGAGTGGGTGAGGTGTGGAAGGGAAAGGGATAGTGTGATTTAGTAAAAGGAGAAAAATTTTCAGACAGAAGAAATAATTTCTAGGGGTCTACTGCATAGTGTGGTGACTATAGTTTATACTAATAGATTATGTATTTCAAAACAGAGTAAAGTATAACTTAAATATTCTCCTCAAATAAAAGTGATTTTGAAATTTCTGAATAGAGAATCACGTAGAAATGAAAAGAGAATAAGTAATTTCTTTCACAAGTAGGCAGAGTGGATGAATATGTTGAGGGAGAAAGCATTTGAAATGACTGCTAATGGTCATAATTTTTTCTTCTTGGTTGATGAAAATGCCCTAAAATTAATTTTGGCAATTGTTGCATAATTCGGAACTCAGTAAGAGGCATTGGAGTGTCTACGTGAAATAATTAGATTGTTGATATATAAGCTACAACTCAATACAGCTGGTTTACAAAACAAAGTGAGGTAAATTCATTAGCCTGAATTAATCATTCAACAATTTATCCATTTGTAACAATAACACACTGTACCAGATAGTATAAACTAAAATATAAAATATAAATTAAAATATAAAATATTTGGCTAGGCAAGGTGGTGCATGCCTATAATCCAAGCAGCTTGAGAGACTGAGGCAGGAGGATCATGAGTAAAAAGCCAGCCTCAGCAACTTTACTGAGGCCATCAGCAACTCAGTGAGACCCAGTCTATCACACAATATTAAAAAAAAAATACTGAGGATGTGCCTTAGTGGTTCAGTAACCCTAATTTCAATTCCCACAACCAAAAAATAAAATAAGGTGAAATCAAATAATTTTAAATAAATAGCTCCTGTTTTAATAAAAATGGGCCACTTTTCAACATGTTTCCTTCCCATTTTGCCTTCATCTCCTTGTAGACCCCCTACACAAGAAGAAGGATTCATGGAATTCACTTCTGAGACTGAGATTCAGACACTTAGCAAGAACTGGTCATTAGTTGGGAATGATCAAACAGGAATGAAACTGCAGAATCAGGTCAGGAAAATGGCCCTTGGTGGGGCACCCAGTTTCCTTCATGAGACTCCCTTCCAGTGACCACTGGATGATCCACAAGGCATGTGGTGAGTGACCAGGGAGTGACCCAAATACTGATAGAATTTGATGCTGCATGTGCTTCCACACATAGCCCAGGGGAGGGGCAGAAACATGGCTGCCTCTGGGGAGACCCCCCAACAACAACCATAGCAGGTGTTTCCTGGGTGGACAGACTTGTTTCCTCACAGTAGAGAGATCTTGGAGGGTGAGCACCAGAAGAGGGCACTGTGGGGTGTGACCCAGGCCTGGAGGGTGACGGACACAGTGAGAACTCAGCAGAGACACTGAAGAGCTAGGTGCTCACAGAGATGATGGACTTCAGCAGATCTTTCTTTCCTGTTCAAGCAAGAATAGACAATGTATGTTTCTGATTCTCAGGAAATCTAAAGACAGGGAGATTATATCTGCTCATCTGAACTCTTCAGGATAGAGATGTAAAAGTGTAGAGTTCAGGACAGGCCAGAGTGGGCTGAGGAGAGGCAGATGCAGGAAGCAGATTTGCATTGAGGACCTCCTTCATTTCTCTGAGGCAATGAAGCAGATAAATAAGTCTGGAGGTGCCAGGTCCGGTGCTGGAGTCTCAGGAGGGAGTGCTCTGGGGCATCGCCACCATGACCTGGACTCTGCTTGTCCTCACACTCCTCAATCAGGGTACTTACGTGACATTTGAAGAACAGGAGGTCTTGGGGACATCTGGGCTAAGGTTTTGTTTCATCCTTCTCAGGTTTACCTTGGCCAGGGTTTGATTCAACACTAAAAGTTTTCTCTTCTTTTCAGGTTTCTGGGCCCAGTCTGCTCTGACTCAGCCTCCCTCAGTCTCTGGAACTCCTGGACAGGCAGTCACCATCTCCTGTGCTGGGACCAGCAGTGATATTGGGCAATATAATTATGTCTCCTGGTACCAACATCGTCCAGGAACAACCCATAAACTCATGATTTATGATGTTAGTAGTCGGCCCTCAGGGATCCCTGCTCGCTTCTCTGGCTCCAAGTCTGGCACCACAGCATCTCTGACCATCTCTGGGCTGCAGCTGGAGGATGAGGCTGATTACTACTGCTGTTCATATGCAGGCAATAACAATTACCACAGTGGGCCAAGTTGAAGGAGAAGTGAGACCAAAACCTCCCCTAAGGACAAAAGCTCCTTCTTGCTCTGATGAGGCTCCTAAACTCTAAAGAGATAGCTTCCTGCAACACTGACTAAAAACTAAATTCCCATTCAGCTGTCCTTTAGTCCCATGGTGAAATAATGAACAAAACATACTCCAGTTTATGTTCTTTATACAGTGACAGCATACTCTGCTCAGTGTGAAGTGGTCTCAGAAGATGTGTATCTCTCCAAACTCTTCATTTTGCTGGAAGAGAGGGTCAAGTCCAAACCTATAGGTACAATTCCTTCAGTTATCAGGGAAATCTTCATTATAGATGCCTCCAAATCCCTCTGTGGTGCAGGCCCGCCTAGGTGCATTTTGGTATCAATGACATTGTTTTATTCATTTCATATCCACCACACTTCAGTCAGGGTGACTGTGGATGGGTGATCTCCTTTTTGCCTTTTCTTGAAGGAAGTTCAACTGAGATTAGGCTTAGTAATGTTGCCATGGGAGTGAGACAGAGTAAGTGCAGGTTTTCATCAATGTCAATCATTTCTAAACCTATAGGTAAGAAACTGAGCAGGAGAGATTGAGAGTAGTATCTCCTTCTTTTATAGAATCGTAAGTCAATAGACCCCTGTACCTGAATTTTCTATTGGATAGTATGAACTCCTAACTAAAGGAATCCTTTTTTCTATAATGAAAAGGTATTTGGTGGGTGAGAACACCATTCCTCAGGATTTTCAGTGTACATTATTTCCACAATGTATCAACCCAATGACTAGATAGAACCTCAATTAAAATGAAACCCTAATTATATATACAGACATTTGGTCCACAATGATATTTACATCATGACAAACCAAATGAATCAAAAATATAAGTAAACATTGTTTTTAGTACCCCTAGCCTGGTGAACTTTATTGTTTACCAAAACCATATACTGTAGAATATGTTATTTGCCCTTGTGATTGCAAGGCTTACTGGAGCTCCTCAGTATTACAATAAAGTTACAACACACATGTAGCTACACTGAGAAAATATCAAAATTGAAAACTGGAAGTATGAATTTTATTGGTTGTAATATGCCATGACCAGTATAGCCAGGGGCATATGGGTGTATTGTACTACTTGACCAGGGGCATATGGGTGAAATCCAGCTGCCAATCAAAGCAAGGGAGATGGTCTCTTGCCTGGTGTAAAGGGAAGGCAGGTGGGTGGAGATTGGAGGTGACATTGTTTTTTTGGACAGATTTCACAGGACGCAGAGAGGGTAGAGAGAAATTGTAGGTCCTCTGGAGAAAGTTTAAGGTGAGAAGTGAGAAACTGTTTTAAAGATGTGGTGTTAGGTAAAAGAGGTTGTGAAGGAAGGTAAGCATCTGTTGAGTGTCAGGTGGGGAAGACTCAATCGGGGGACAATCATGGCATAGGACCACAGGTGGAGCGATATATATATATATATATATATATATATATATAATTATTTGGTTAAAGACTATGCAAAGTATTATTCTTTGTACTCAATAAATTACAGGGCTAGAAACATTTATGTAGTTTTTCTGCAGTTGTAGTTTTCAGTCGCAATGTGCAACGTTAGGAGTTTTGTGTAGCTCTCAAGAAAGTCTGTTTTTTAAAGTTACTGTTAAGTGGGCAGCTTTGGAATTAGTGGAGCTGGTGAAACATTGTGGTTGTCTAGCAGGAGAGTCCTCTATTCCCAGGAACTATGTACCGTGAGATCAAGGTCAAGGCTGATAAGACTCTTCTGCAGAGCCTTCTCTTGCACGACATTGCCACAGCAGCTAGTCATCCTGCAAACTTGCAAAGGAACATTCACAGGCACTAGGCTTTCCAAAGCCATGAGGTCATCATAGACCCCCATCTCAGACACTTCTCTCCCATTCTCTGTCACCACTGTCCACAGTAATATATATATATATGTGTGTGTGTGTGTGTGTGTGTGTGTATTTATATGCAATTATATTTTCAGGAATTCTTTAAACAGCTGGTGGAGGCCCCAGACAAGATAGAACAGTCATCAATATTCACCAGTTTGCCAAAAAATTTCCAGTGTTAGCAATGAAATTTCCAAGTCCTGAAATCTTTATGTTAACTCCAATATTATGACATTTCCATACTCACCATTGCACTTTGCATGCTTTGGATGTGATGATTCATCATGCATCAACATCTTCCTATGCTTTTTCCAATAATTAAATTATACATGTATATATATATTTTAAAAAAATATGAGGAAAATGCCTACCTACTATGGATAAGTGAATTTGAACATTTGAAGTTTTCATATTTCAAAATACCTGCCAATGTTTTACTCTTCAATGCCATAGGGGACTCGGCATTCAGTCCAATTCCCACTTTCCTTAGGGAATTCCATGGCTAAGAGCCAAGGCTGCATTCTTGCCTCATTCATGGAACCTCCAGGAATTTTACCTTCAGATGCATCTTTTCTTCTTTTCCAATCTGCTGCCTGGGTCTGTTCTGGACCTGCTGGAAGTGCAAGGAAGAAGGACCAAGCTTCTACTTCCACTTTATCATAGCAAAATAAGGTGACAGTGCAGGGCCTTGGGTCAGATTTCATCCTTTTATTTTCTTTGTTTCTGGATTCAGGGATATTGTGATAGGCCCAATACTGAAAGAGTTCAGACTAACACTTTACTCTTGCTTTATATATTTCTTATAGAAATTATGTATATTTTAAATTATATTCTGAGTTCGTATTCTTTGTAGTTAAGCAAAGGAAAATAATCAAGGTTCATTTCAATTAATTTTACAATCTATAATTGTGTAATGTATCTTGTCTAAAGAATATTTCAAGATAAAAATATATTTTTGCAGTGTGAGGGATTGATAAAATAAATATTTACAATGCAATGAACACTCATCCCATGAAAAAAAAGCATTATGGCAAAAAATGCGGGCTTTCCTCTCTTGATCAACTGATATTGATTTTTTTTTCCTGGGAATTCACATCCAACAAGACTTTTGTTATGATTAAATTTCATCATATTCTCTGCTCCTTAGCTTAAGATCTCCACCAGTGAAGTGAAAACACTTTTGATTGTGGTGGGGCAATACCATGGAATGAACCCAGGGGTACTTAACAACTGAGTCACAATCTCAGTCCTTTTTAATTTTTTTTAAAATTTTGAGGCAGGGTCTTACTCAGTTGTTGAAGCTTGCTTTGAAATGGTGATCCTTATGGCTCAACCTCCTGAATAACTGGAATTACAGGCCTGCACCGTCTCATGCAATTTGATAACACTTCTTTTGAGGGGAAGGGGATTGATGATAGTTCTGAATGATGGGGTACTTCACTCAGCTTTTTCACTGCTGTGACTAAAAGACCCAACCAGAAATATTGCAGAGTAGGAAAGTGTTATTTAGGGGATAATAATTTCAGAGGTCTCAACCATAGAAAGCAGGCTCCATTCCACAGAGTTTGAGGTGGTGCAGGGCATCGTGGTGTAAGACTGTGGCAGAGGGAAACAGCTCCCATGATGACCAGGAAGCACAGAGAGACTTCCACTTGCCAGATAAAAATATACATCCCAAAGCCATACCTCCAATGCTCCTCCTCCTCTAGCCTCCAGTGCCTGATTCCAGTTACCACTGGAATTACCACTTAGTTAATCCCCTCAGGGATAAAGTCATTGATTAGGTAAAGGCTATAACCCAATCATTTCTTCTCCAAACCTTCTTGCATTGTCACACATGTGAGCTTTTGGGGGACATGTCACATCCAAACCATAACATGGGACTACTGCTGAGAAGGAAAAAAAATAAGGAAAATTCCTGCTCATGATCCTGATGAAACTAGCAGAGATAAGGAAGTATAGACAAGATCCAGGGCATCGACCTGGTATGATATCCTCAGGAGTACATGATGACTTGCTGTCAGTGCCTTTGAAAGTCAGCTTCTCCAGTTGGATGAGTCTGGCTAGGGAGAGGGAGAGGGGATACTTAGCATTCATAAGGCACACAGGTTCTCTCTCTGATACCATATTACCAACTCCAACTGGACTCACTTTCTACAAATTTGTGTTTGATTTTCTGCAGAGAAAAAAAAATGGGGTAGAGAGGGCCTGGTAGGCAGAGCCATGGATAGGGAAAGGATGGGAACTGACCTGCTGCTCTAACCAGGTCCACTCACTCTTTCTGATTTTCTTCTGCCCCAGGCCAATCACTGTTATCCACAGGCGTTGAGACTAGTACAAGTATTTCAGGATGGCTCTCACTACACAATAGGAATCAGGATTTCTCAAATCTAAATCCATAAACAAATTTCATTGTAGTGTATGGCTTCAAATCTGTGTAGCTCTCTGTTATCTTGTCCTGAAACCATTGTTTGTGAAACTTTTAGAAGCATTTTAGTTCAGTTTTGCTGGATCACATGCTCTCCATCCACATAATAAATAAGTACCCTCAGGGGCGTTTTTCATATAGTCTTCCAGGCCATGAATAAAAAGCTGACTAGTGATGCTATGAACAGAATCCAGCACCCACTCTGAGAGAGTGAGGAGGTGTCTTGAGATTGGAGTTTGTGTTGTTACTGGGGCCAGGGAAAGTGAGAGAGAAAAGGAAACTTTCTGATGGAATCTCCAGGGAACATACTTCATAACTAATATTTTTCTAATAATAAAAATATTGCTGAAGCCTGACCAGGCTCCAAAAAGTTTCCATGAAAACAAGAGGATGCAGTTAATGAGCCTGCATGTGGCTCCCTCATTGTTCCTGTGCTGACATTTATTGAACTTTTTGAATGTGTGGATTTTATCGATTTCATGAACCAGATATAGACTATGTCTACCTGTTTCTTCTCCTATGAAGACATTCATTTCCTATATAATAGGTCACATGATAATTCCACAGTTACTAATAAAATTTCCTTTTGTCGGTGGGGAGGATTCTTCTTGCTTAATTTTCTCTTCTATTTCCTTGAATATATTTCCTCATATGTAAGGCTATCAGTGTGACTCTTGTTTAGTATCTAA